ATGGAATTCCCAAAGAAGCTGTAGCTGCCCCATTCCTGAATTCCAGGGATCAGAAATTCGGGAGAAATCCTTCCTTAGGACACTGAGAAATCCCTGGAATTGAATTCCCAAAAAATCTATGGCTGGCCCAGCTCTGCATTCCAGGGATCAGAAATTCGGGAGAAATCTTTCCCTAGGACACTGAGAAATCCCTGGGATTGAATTCCTAAAAAAGCCACGGCTGGCCCAGCTCTGGATTTCAAGGATAAGAAATCCGGGAGAAATCCTGCCCTGGGATACTGAGAAATCCTGGGATAGAATTCCCAAAAAAGCCACGGCTGGCCCAGTCCTTGTGGCTGATTGGATCAGAAATTTGGGACAAATCCTTCCTTGGGACACTGAGGAATCCCTGGGATAGAATTCCCAAAAAAAGCAGTGCCTGCCCCATTCCTGAATTCCAGGGATCAGAAATTCGGGAAAAATCTTTCCTTAGGACACTGAGAAATCCCTGGGTTGGAATTCCCAAAGAATCCTTGGCTGCCCCAGGCCTGGATTCCAGGGATCAGAAATTCAGGAGAAATCCTTCCTTGGGATGAAATTGGAATTTTGGGGGGGGGGGGATGTTCTGGCTGTAAATCAGAATTTTGTGCGAATTTGTGCTGCTCAAATCAACTTAACCACTTTTCAAAGGATGAAATTTAGGATTTTTTTCCCCAGCCAATCCCATTTTGATCCCAAAGGATGAAATTTAGGATTTCTCATTGACCCCAAAGGAAGAAATTTAAGTTTTTTTTTCCCCCTCACAATCCCAGCCAATCCCATTTTGATCCCAAAGGACGAAATTTAGGATTTTTCATTGACTCCAAAGGATGAAATTTGGGATTTTTTTGCTCCCCTCAACTGCTCCAGAGGGAAACAAAGGCCAGGAATGGCCTGGGAAAGTCAGGATGGGCTGAAAACCAATCTGGGATTAAATTTGAGTTTTTTTTACTCCACTCCAACTGCTCCAGGAGGAAACAAAGGCCAGGAACGACCTGGAAATCCAGGATGGGCTGAAAACCAACCTGGCACTAAATTTCAGGTTTTGCTCCTCTCCAAAGGCTGCAGGGAGAGACAAAAGGGAAAGAAAAGGTCTGGAAAATCCGGGATGGGCTGAAAACCAATCTGGAAAACCAATCCATGAGCTCAGCCTGGCTCTTGGCAGCCCCGAGCTTTAGATTTGAAAAGCTTTGTTCTGTAATTTATTTATTTTATTTTATTTTTTTTTTTCCCCTTTTTCTTTTCACTCCCCTTTTGTCCTGCAGGAGCTCAGTGCCCGCAGGTGCTGCTGGAGGAAGGGGGGGAACAGAAGGAAGGCTTGGAATTCCTGGGAATTCCAGGGAGGGGATTTGACACTTCCAGAGATTTTCTAGGCTGAGCCCAGGCTCCTTAAATCAATTTCTCCAAATCCTGTGCTGAGCACCAGGGTTTAAATCAGATCATCAATAATTTGTTGGTGTTGATTCCAAGGGGTTTTAAGTTGGGTTCCCTAAATTCTGTGTTGATTCCAAAGGATTTTAAGACAAATTCCCTAAATTCTGTGTTGATTCCAAGGGGGTTTTAAGACAAATTCCCTAAATTCTGTGTTGATTCCAAGGATTTTAAGACAAATTCCCTAAATTTTGTGTTGATTCCAAGGGTTTTAAAGCTGAGTTCCCTAAATTTTGTGTTAATTCCAAGAGGTTTTTAAGCCAAGTTCCCCAAATTCTGTGTTAATTCCAAGGATTTTAAGCCAAATTCCCTAAATTCTGTGTTGATTCCAAGGATTTTAAGCCAAATTCCCCAAATTCTGTGTTGATTCCAAGAATTTTAAGCCGAGTTCTCAAAATTCTGAGCCCAGGGTCTCAAGGAAGGTTTTTTTAAAAATAGGATTCTCAAAATTCTGTGCTGAACCCAAGGCTTAAATTTGAATTCCCAAAATTCTGAGCCCCAGGTCCCAAGGAAAGGTTTTAAGTCAGATTCTCAAAATTCTTTGTTGTTGATTCCAAGGGGTTTTTAACTTTAATTCTCAAAATTCCCAGTCTGAGGTCTCAAAGAAGGGTTTTAAATTG